CACAGCCGCCCACGCTGTGCTTGGGGTTATTTTTAGCATCAGGGAGATGTTACCTGGCTGATTGCTGCCAAATGAGAAGGAAAGGCATTAAACTGTACATAGCTAATTAGTGCTGACAGCTGAGCTGTTCTTCGTGCCTGCCCTTGCCTTTCTGTCTCTGCAATGAATCTGTGTCAAGTCTTCCCAGCCCTCTGAAATCAGGGCACTTCCCTGATTTTTAGTGCAGTGACTGAGAGTTGGAGTTTCATCAAAAAAACATTGCTAAGCTCCAGGTGAGTTTAGGTGAGTCTCTAAACTGGGCTCAGCTACTTAACTTCTGCATTAGGGCTACTAGTGATTTGGGCACACACACACACCCTTTTTGGTCAAACTAAAAAAAATAGTCCCCTGAATTCTGGGGATTCAGCCCAGTTTCCTGCAGAACCTCTCAGTCTGGAGGGCTGATGCCTTTTCAGTGAGCAAAGCTGCACTGAGACATTTCTGTGAGGAAGTGGCACTGGTTGTGCCATCCTTGGGAAACAGGACAGCTTTTGTGCCATCAGTAGGTAACATTTCCTTCGTGATGGCTCTGTGGTGAACTGTCAGGCTGTATTTTAGGCTGCAAATCTGAAGTGCTCTTAGCCTGGTATTGTTCTGTCTCAAGCAGCACTGCAAACTTCACGCTCTGTTACCTGAGGCTGAGGTACAAACCAGGCTGTAATCTGTGTGTGCATTTAGCTACAGCTGCAGTTTCTGGGCAAGTCAACTTGAAAATGCCCCTCCAAGAACCTCAGGGCAGCACTAGAACTACAGATCCCAGATGTGGTAAAGCACTGAATAAAGATACCTGCTTTTCACTTCACTTTGCCAAGAAGCCTTGCCCCAGCATGATCCACTTACCCAGGCCAAGATTTTCAATGTGGTAAAGATCAGTTTTAGGTGCTCAAGTTTTGGTTCTGCTCTGTGTCCACAAACCCATCGTTCCTCCTGTCTGACTCCTTTGATGCCCCGGTTTCTGTATGTGAGTTCCTGTCTCCATAATCTCTTAAGTGCCACTTAACACTTCGTGTCTACTTATGCAAATACCCAAGGAGGTGAAAGAGAACATGAAGTATAATCTTTTCCAGGAATTCATGTATTCATTGAACATTAAGTAATATTGGAGCGTCTTTAACTGTGGTTATGTTATATGAGGCATTCTTGAAAAGCGCCAGTGACCCAGGCAGCTCAAACATCAACTTTCTAAACAGTCAGAGATCAAATTTAATTAAGCAATCTTTTCCTGCATCACTCTTCAGTCTAGCAACTATTTTACTCCCCCAGGTTTCAGCTTAAACCCCCTCTAGAACATCATGAGCCTGTAAGACAGAAAGTAGATATTGCAAATAATTGTACTTGCAAATGTCTTTTCTGCCTCGTGACACAAAGAGCTCCAAATTCACTGAATTCCATTGAGGGCTTATTATCTGTACTCCAAGCACATACTAATGGGAACCAAGACCTGTTGGGAGCCCTGTTGCCTAATGCACAGTAGAATATTGCAAGTGTGCACCATGGCTTGGGGCACTGGAGATGCATGAATTACTAAGAGAAGCACTACAGCATAGGGAAATCTGGGAAAAATGGAATCCTGCCATCTTGGATGGAGGAGCAGGGAGAAGTGCATGTTTCCACGGCAACAAGTGGTAGATTAAATTAGCTGGGAGCACGAAATACAGGAAATACACTTTTCAAAAGCAGCAATGCACATAAATGACTCCTGGAATCCTCATGCTGCTGTCAGTCAATAATAAGTCTGAAGTCAGTGGATTTGCACTGCTGTAAAAGTAGAATCTGGCTCAAAAGATAGAACTCCCCAGTCTCTCTTTTGAGATGGAATAAGTGGGAAAGTGAAGAAAAATAGGGATTTTAGCTTTGACTTCATAAACACTCATCAGAGTGATAGCAGAGAGTTGATTTTCTCAGCAGGCTCACAGCTACTGTTGAAATGTGTTACAACCAGAACCATTTCAAAATACAGTGGTTTTGAGAAGATGTTATTCTTTTGTCTCCCCATTTCTGAAGTTACATAAACACTATTATTTGATGTATTTTGCACATTAGGTATGTCAGCACAGCTTTTCCTCCAGAGTACATTGCTAGGCTGCGTTAGCTGTGGGACTGAGGCAATTTGCTAGACAGCTACAGACTATCAAATCCTACAACTGTGCTGAAAAATATTGATCTTGTTTTCTTGCTGTTTTTATGCCGCCAGCTATTGAATAACTACTCGCTAATCTGCCCATATATTATTTTTTGTGCTAAAGAACAGGTCTATAACCTGATGGGACACATGGATTCATGATTTACTGTTATCAAGTGTTACTACTATGGCAGCAGCAACATGCTCTCACTTGCACAGGTAGTGGCAAAACCCTACAGAGAGCAGACATTCCTACTGGATCCCATTTCCTGCTCTGTACTTCCCACCTCAGCACTCAGCAGTAAGTTCCTTAGCTATAAACTTTCAAGTTGTCACAAAGAGATTATGCTGCACAAGTACCAGTGAAATGAATGAATGTAAAGACCTCAAAATCTCATCCAAGAATTTCATTCTTCCCAGCGTGGTTTCATTTCCACGCTGCTGCCAGACTGTGCTAGTGGGGTCTCTGGGGTGGTCTGGGTTTTGTGGGGTGAGTCCTAGTCCGAAATTCCAGAGGGATATCTCTAGGCTCTAGCTCTCTGGCCTTTACCAATACCCATTTTTACTTGGTTGGTTGGTGGTTGGGTATTTTTGAACACCTACTTGCTTTTCCTGGTGTAAATATTTTCCTGATGCATCCACCACCTGAGCTTGTCTGCATGCTCATGTCTATTCTGGTGGATGAGTTAAGAGCTGAGCTGAGCTCTGCCAGCCCACATATGTGCTGGAAGTTGTGTGGGAGAGGGCTTCCAATCTGTTTTGCCATTCCTGGCTATTCCAGCAATCTCTGTACCGTCTGTTCCCCGAAATGTGCTCAGTATTCCACATTCCTGGAAGAAGGAGCTAAATGAAGGCATGTTTTCCAGCACTTGGAACAAAGGTGGCTTTTAGCCAACCTCTAGACATCACCAATGAGATCAATGGGCTGCACCCACAGATTGTTCCACAAAACCAGAGCAGACAGTGTGGGGTGTCCCTTCACTGCATTCCCCCATAGACACCTCCTGGTCATGACCAGCCCTTGCCTTCACCTGTCCGGCAATTTCATTTTGAGTTCCTTGACATTTGACTTCAGGCATGCACCCTTGAAAGGAATCCTTTAGGTTCATTATTAAGCAAGCTAAATGATAAATGAGAAGACAGGGATAAAGCCTGTAGTTATACCACCTGCAGCTGCAATTCCATTAGACCTTTCACACTGATGGAAGTCAGGCTGGACTAAAATGAGATGGGACCTTCTAGGCATTTCAGCAGTGTGAGATGTGGCTGGATGTGACATCATCTTCTCATTCAGTGAATACTTTGTGACGGGTGAACTTGGTTTTAGGGATGCACTGGGGCGGAAACCATTTTTTTTGTGTATTTTAGAGCTATCAAATTGGGCTCCTGACCTGTGAAGAGATCTTATGAGCAATTGACTGGCCATAATACTGGAATTAGCAATATTGCAGTGCAGCTTAAATATTCCCCTGCAATGAATACACAAGGCTTGCAGGATCCAGATGGTCCAGGTCCATGACGCTTTCCTTCCGATGGTTATTAATGGGACACATCTATGATTTGCTCTGCCTGTAATTTTTGGAACTTAAAGCAAATTGTAATAGGATCTTTTCTACTTGTATGGGATGCACATGTTTTTTGTGACAGGGTCTGGCATCTGCACTGCCTTGTGCAGTCACTGCCACGAGGCACCACTTTCCTTTGGGAGCAAAGTGCTGTCACGCAATCACTGAGATTGGAGGAAGGCAATGACTCCATCAGTGGCAGGGGCATCATGAAGGGCACCCAAAATCTCATCTGTGTTCACTGAACAGCACGATCCTTAGCTGAGGGCAAGCGTGGTGCTGGCAGGGATGTTTTCCTGCACAAACTCTGGTCCCTCAGGACTCATGCTCTGATCCATGTGTGTGCTTCTCACTCCCTGTCCCCTGAGGTAAAGTTTAATCAAAAGCACACACACATGAATGAGCTAGTCTAAATATCAATAAATGTTCCTTTCAGGAGAGGCCTGAGATATTTAATATTTAATAAACCTTGAAAATGAACTTCTATTCATGTTTCTCAATTTGATTCCAAGCATTTTGGCGGCGAGCAGCGCTCACTGTCCCAGTGTGGGCAGGCAGAGCACAGATTATTTAACAATCCACTTTGTCTCATCTAAAATATTCATGTTTGCAGATATCCAAATGGAACTCTCAAAAAGAAAAACCACACATACACAAACCAAATGGTGCAGTCTGAGCCTCATAGTCATCTTAAATCTTTGCTTTAGGCTACAAGCCACAGTGATGCTTTTTCTCTCACAACACTACCCTGTTGCCCTGGTTACTGATGAAAACCAGACCATCCTGCTGTGCCTGCAGCTGGACTGACACAGGCACCTTCCCCAGGTGAGGGCAATGCTGCCTCTTCCTTAAAGCACCAATGCAGCCACCAATACAGCACCTTTCCCTCGTGCAAGCAGCTGTAATGATTGCCTTTATCCTCAAATTCAGCTAGTGCTAACAAAGCCAAATCAGGTTAATAAAGAATTATATTATTCTTTTTGTTAAAGCAGGACCTCAAAATCTTGATTACATCAGTGGAGCTGCAGGTAGATTTGGCAGAATTTTGTCTCCCACATAGACCTCTGTCTTGGTTTCTATTGGAATCAAGGCAATCCTGACTGAAGAGAGAGTTAAGATTTATTTTTTTTTCTGTGGCTGATTGACAGCTGAAAATGTGCTGTATTAGTTTGTGTATGGACTTGAGGGTGGGTCACAGTGTCTCATCCAACAGGACTGAGAGGACACTCCCTTGCAAAGGGAGGTTCCTCCCTGTTCTCGTTCCCAACACTTACTTTGAGAGTTTCATTTCAATTTGCTGCCGGATTTCCTGTCTTTCCTCATCTGTCCTCCTCGGGAAAATATTCCTGTCTTCCAGCTCCTGCTTACTTGGTCTGTTCCGTAGTTTTACTGCCAGCAGTTCTTTCTTGCATTTTCTTGGCAAAGTACCTGGGACATGCATTGAAAAGAAAGTTATTAGAAAGACAGATCCTGGGAATGAAACAGGAATGTTTGAAGAGCAGGAACATCACAGAGTGACAGTGATGTGTACGTCAGTGTGCAAGGAGCAGTTGTACACATTAATGTAAGTAAGGAGCACTACAGCTGAGCAGGGCTCAGAGACAACACCCTACAAATGCAGAAGGATCATATTCTTTAGTTATCTTTGTTATCCATGATAACCAGGCAGAGCTCTGCAGTGAAAATTATTTGCAGCTGAGACATGATTCATGTCACTAGTTCAGAAGTCAAAGACTGTGCATCTTGCCACAGTCCTCTGAGCATCTCTGTAACCCAGAGCATCTCTGTAACCCTGAGCAATCCCTATTTTCTGAACCACAGAGTTGTTCCTTTGAAAAAGGACTGGATTGCTCCACGGCAGGAGTGGCTGGGACATGTACACTTTCCTCTTTGAGTCACCAGTATAGCCGGGAACAGATATTGGTGACTGAAACAATGGCAGTTGTTGCTTGGCGTGTGTGTGTGTATATGTATAATGTATATAATATACATATTTATTAAATGTCATTCTGGTTTTCTGACATTAGAAATCAGAAAATGTGAATTGTGATCAGACATTGTGTGTAACTGCAGCACTAAAAGTCAGCCACTGTGTACATCTACATCCTGCATCCTGTCCAGTGTGACAGTGTGTCATAACAGGATTTCATTTAGCAGTCAATACTACTCTATTGGCATAAGGCCTTTTCCTCTGAAGACTGAAGGGGCAAATATTCCAAGGAATGAAAGAAAAGACCAGTTTTTATGATGATTTGCAGAATGGTGGCAACTTAATTGGACATTTGGGCAATAAGAGACACAAATACTTACTGTGATTCCATGACCTGTTGTGCTTATTGTAAAAATATGAGACAGTGTTTCCATCAAACCAGACAACCTAAACATTTCCTTTACAAAGGAATTGTTCATAGCAGAACATACAGCAACTCTTTTGAGTAGAGTGTAATGGGTGTTGAGTCCTCTGATGACATTAAAACACCCTTTCACTTTCCTTTCACTCTCATTAGAGGGAACTGTGTTTGAGTGTAGGTGTTTTTTTTCTCTGGTGTAACTCTTTAGTCTTCAGAAGGCTTAAGAAATGAAAATTTTACTCTTGAGCTTATAAAGCCATTCTGCCATGTGTTTGGAAGGCTGTGCAGGGAAGTGTCTGTGAAGTAGAAAGCCAGCTGTATTTCCAAATGCACCCTGGAAGTGTGGGGTGATGCCCATGTTTGATGAGGGGGAGCTTGTTTGTGATGGAGACAAAAGAAGAGGGAAGTGCTATTAAAACCAGTGAGCTGCTGGGTTGTACTGGTAGGGCTGCAATCCTCCAGCAATTGTGTCTCAGGTGGGTTGTAGGCAAGTAAATTTACACCAGACCCCTCCTCACCTCTGCTGCTGTGCTGTCCAGGGCTTCAGCAGTGTGAACATTGTCCCTGCAGAGCAGCACCAGTCACACAGGGTTTGGTGCATTGTCAGGACCTACAGTTAAATCTTTGCTTCATCTTGGGAGCTCGGGGTGTAACAGGAGGTTAATTTGTTTTGATCTCTTTTAACTTTAAAGGGCCTTTTTTTTTTTTTTAATTTAATGTTTCACCTTTTCTACAAAAGGTCACCTTCTTTTTAAAGAAAATGACATTTAATTGGTATTTTTGTTTGGCATTTGAGATAGAATTAAAGTCTATTTTTAAAGGATGGCAGGATGCTCTGGAGGTCGGCAAGATTCTAAATCCTAAACAGATCCTCCTTCCCAAATACTGGGGGTTTGTTTGCTAGGGATATGTGGACCTCTATTGTTATTATCACTACTTATCTCGAATTTCTTTATGCAGAGGGAAGGAGTTTATACAACCTCCTTCCCACACATATCTGTTGGGAAGGTGGGGCATAGTAGTTATGGTCTCCCTGTGTGAGCAGCAACAAGTCTCTTGATAGTTGCATTGATCTAAAACTAAACTTTTTAGAAACCATAATGAGCTCAAACCCCCTTTTAGAGTCTAAAAGCTGTGCCCTTGTTTAGCACCTTCCTTCAAATGCTTTCAAAGTCTGTTGGAAACATTAATTAAATTAAACCACACAGCCCTCTCTGAAGTGATACTTATACATTTAACAGATGGGTAAAGAAGTTAAATGATTTGGCTGATGCCACGCAGAGCCTTCTGCTGACTGAATTCTGACTCCATCAGAAACATTTGGCTCACAAAGCCACAGACTTGAAACTCTGTCAAGGTTTTCAAGCCTCAGCCTCACTGGGAGTGGGTGCAGAGTGGGCGTTTGCAGTACACGGGGACCACCAGAACTCCTTCTGAAACAATCTGAAGGACATTTGGAAAACTCCTGGGTATCCCTGAACATATTTTCAGGTTTCACTGTTCCCAGGCTGCTCTGTTGCACATTAAGAGAGAGCCTACTACTTTGGGAAATTAAAAACACAAATCATATCTGAAAAAGCTCAAGTTTAACCCAAATCCTGCTGTACTATTTGAATGGTAGAGAGCATATAACCCACTGAGGATAAGCTGTGCTCCCTCCATCCAGATGTCAGCATTTCCAAAAGGCTTATGCCATGGCCACTCCCATGGTCCAAATGCACTGGGCACTGATTAATCTGGAGGGTGTTTCACCAAATAAAAATGCAAGAGATCTGGATCAGGCTGATCTGCCAGTCTAAGGAGCCATTCCCACTGCCTGACCAATTGGGTAATTCCTGAAAAATAATGCCTGCCCAAAAAAGTGGAAAGAGGGAGATGATGTTTCCCCCCTTCAGAAACACATGCTCTGAAATTGTACCCCTCATGTGCTTTCATCCTGACCAGCCCACTTGACCAGGCCAGGTCTGTTATTTCACCCACTACAGAAACCCAGAGCTGATGTTTCAGAATAAACAAATAAATAAAACTAAACCAGAGAATAAAGAGAAAATAAAGCCCCAAACTAGTTTTCCCCACATCCATTTTTAGCATCCTGAGGCAAATTCCTTCCTGATCCCTATCTCAGTAGAAAGTGAACCTGCACATACCCTCATTTAAGCATTTTTTTTCCTAAGGGTTATTTTTCCTGGGCAGTCATGCAGGTTCAATGCCAGTCTGCCCCATGACCAAGCTATCTCAGGCAGGATCTTGGCTGTGGCTTGTTTCCTGATTTATGGCAGCTCAGCCAGGTCAACAAGGAATGTTTGGGCAATTCACACCCTTTTCATGTTTGGGATGCAGGTTCCTGAAAAAAGTTCCTGTTTTAATTCAGTTGAATCGTGACATTTAATTTCCTGTATCTTTACTGTCCTTTCTATCATATCTGCTGTTCTTTCTATCAAGTAAAAAACAAATCCTACAAGGACCTTGATTACACCAGTTGTCACTTGTGGGCTAAATTCTAGTTATGTTGATACTTAAGCTCGTGCACTAGACTGTCTTGCTTTATGTTTTTAGATGTTTCAAAGAATGATTTATTGAGTAGGATGGTGATGGAAAGCCAAGGTAAGATTCCTCACCTGTCTGTACCAATCTTCTGTAGGCAGGGGGCTGTGGCACTGCTGCTCTGCCTCGTGGTGGCAGCGGCAGAGAGTGGGTGACATGCTAAGGCAGTGCCCTGACTGCAAACAGCTCTGGATTAATGGATGGTTTTACTCCCTGACTTGGAGACCAACCCAGATTTTTTCAAACTAGAAGGAATGTGAGATTGTGAGGGAGTTGTTCTGGCGCTGTCCCTGTCACTGCTGCGCCCCTCCCTCCTGTCAGAAACGCACAGGTTTGAGTGAATGCTGGCACCAGCAGTGCCACCCAGTGTCCAGACCGGGAATGCCTTGGGAATGGCCCAAGCTTGCACCGAGGAATTGAGCATAAAGCACACTGATGACTTACCAGCACAACCCTACCTAAACATCAGCTTAGCATGCAGTACCTGGCAAGACAAACACAATCACAATCATTATGACTCAAATTTAACTTTAGCTTTTCACCAAGATTCCTTGAAACAGCTGCTGTGACAATAGAGGAATTGATACTTCTCTGTACTTTCTGTTCCATGCTGCCTTATTTAGAGCACTCTGTTAGGCTCTGATAGTGTACCTTTAGAACATAAGTGACTTTCCTTACCAGAAATAATGGAGTCATTCAAAACTTCCTCATCCTGATAAAAAACAGAGTCTTCCTTGAGCTCTGAGTTCATGATCATGTTTTCTTTGTTCTCATCTGACTCTTTAACTGAGTTCCTCTTGTTTTCTGAGTCGCTGCTGTAACTCAGGGAGTTCTCCTTCTCCTTGTTGCGCTCCATGCTGGATGTTCTGGATGGACGCACATCCACTCTTTTTTTTGGAGAGCCTTTGCTTTCTCTTCCATGGAAGCTGTGGGTGGAAGATGCACAGCCCAGTTTTCACAAAGACTGTTTTACTGCCACAGTAGAAACTTATTGTTATATGTGAATGAGCGGAATGTCCTGTAGCTCATAGAGAGGGCAGGGCAGGGCAGAGAGTTCAGCACGGGCCAACACAGGATGGCATTCTCAAGACTGTGCTGAGAATGGCTAATGTGGATCTACTTTGCTGTCTCTGTCATTAAAATAAGATATGGAAGGGTGGTTACTGATGTTTTTCTTTTGTATATAGTCACAAGATATACTGTGACTAAAAAATCCACAACAGCACGTCCTTCTAATGTAAAACATACCTGGCATGAAATATTACTACTCTGATATTTTATGATTGTGACAAAGGTTCGACAGGACCTGGAAATAATGTTGTATGAGTCTGTTCCCCATGGCAACAGCCACTATGGAAATAAGAAATTATACCAACTTAATTCTGAAGCTCGGGGAGGAAAAGGTTATCTCTTTCCTCCTCTAATATACAGGAAAGCTTATAATGAAAGCCAGATAAAGTACCCAGTGTACTCCCACAAAAGCATTTGTGTTACAAATGGATATTGTACATGCTGCCATGTAAGCCAAGAGACACAGCCTGGAATAGCAGCATTCCTCATGTGTGGGGTGCTGGGACTTAGAGCAGGATGTGCCTTCACTACTCTGACTTGGTGTCTCGTGGGGAGATTTTCCTTTGCAATAGGTCAAGGATTATCACATGATTCTATCTGTTTGAAAACCTACTTCCATGCCACAGTAACCTCCTTATAAAGCAGGAGCACACAGTGAAGTAACTGCCAAATCAAGCACTTAAACCAGGGATGGATGTTCCAAGTAGTGCCATTGCAGGGAAGGCAAACCCAAGCTGCAGGAGTACTGAAAACACTAATAACAGGCTAGGATCATGTCCCAAGTGAAATGATGTCGTGCAATGAGTGTCCTCATGCCCCCCTGTGGCCACGAGGCTGTAGGTACCTGTCCTGGCGGTGTTTGGTGGCCAGAGCCCTGTGCAGCTCCTCGATGACTCTGCTGGGAGGCAGAGGCAGGTGAACAGCAGCCATGTGGGGGGAACCCGTTGGTGTCGTCACCTGTCCCCTGCCAAGGGGGTCTGAGCTTTTCTGGCCAGAGGGATGGAAAAGGGCAGCTTGTCCTGAGATTTGGGAGGAACCAACAATGACATAATTCTTCAGGATGGTGGAAGGAGGAGATTTCATGGCCGGGTCATCACCTTCACTTCCTGCTGTCAAAACACGAGAGGGTAAGAGGTTGAGAAACGCTTTTGGTTTTTGGCACACAGACTCTGCACTGAAATGAATTTGTCGTGTTGAACAGAGGAAAACGGTGATGTTTTGCTCTTGCTATGAGGTAACTGCTCAGGCTGAGGAACTATTCGAGTTCAGAAGGCTCTTACTGCATGAATCCCTATCTTTGCACTAGCAAAATAAATACCTCCCCATTTCCCCTGTTTCTCACGGGATCAGATTCTCCTTTTTCCCAACCCAACAAGGCATTCTTGATTCCCCCTTGATCCTAACCACCAATGGCTTGGACTGTGGTGGCTTTCCAATCCAGCACTTTCTCTGTTGGACTCTAGCAGACTGTATTAAAATTTATGCACTGTGGTTCTCAGTCTGGACAGAATGTCCCAGTGTCTATTATCTGCTCCTCTGTGATTGCTGCACAGCTCAGACCTCTGCCTTTCATATGCCAGTGGAGAAAATGCCAAAGTCATCATAATATGAGCATAATGTTTGCATAACAAAATAACATCCAAATGAAAGATGTGCTATTGAGCATTAACAACAAAAGAGAAGGGTGGAAAAATCCGATCTCTTTTTACCCCCAGATTTTCTTGTTGAAATTTAGACTCTGATCTAAACATATTCTGTGTCCCAGTGGACATTTCACTGGTTGTAAATTTGGTAGTTTCACACCCTTAGGACAACTGAATATCTGGCCTGAAAAAGATGCTGATTAGTTTTTCTGGTCTGCAGTTCTCTTTCCCTTTCCCCTTTCCCTTAGATCTGTGTCCCAAACCTGTGGTACACGGCGTTGTTTACACCAGCAGCTCAACTGGGTGTAAAAGGGGCGAGAGCCTCATCTGAGAGTATTTCTTGTCTCTTGTTGCCACCTAGTGCCTTAAACAGGAATTTAAACTGAGGCAGCTTGTACAGCTTTTGTACTAACTTGTTCTCACAGATAACTTTTACTTTTTTGCACTTCATTTTGAGATAAATCCTTCAATTTATAGCTGGGAAAAACCTCTGCTCAGGCCAGGATTATTCTGAAATAGCCATGTAAAATAGGACTTGGTTCCTATTAGCAGGGAACCTACTAGAAAACTATAGAGGGAGAAGTTAGGTTTGAATATGAACTTCAGTTATTAAATATTTCCTTATAAAAAGCACAAGGAGGGAGAAGAGCTCTTGTAGTCAAACACTGAAAATTTGAGAGTGACGACTAAGGCTGGTCTCTTTTTCACATGTGTGGGGTGAGGAGGAGAGCATCCCTCAGTGAGGACAGTTGCATCCACAGTAAAATCTCTTTTGCTATAAGAAAGCTCTAACTTTTTTTTTCATTTCTGGAGGGTGTTTTTGCACATTTCTGCCCCTCCAATGCAGAACCCCAACCAGCATCCAGAGCTTCATTTGTTTCTGTGCATACAGGAGACAGGGTTCAAGGCAGGCCAAAAGTTACCTCTTACCAAAAAGTCTGAAAGCACAGGGGCATTTCTTTAACTGTCTGTGTGTCTGATGTGCAATGTCTTGGCAATGAGGCACCTTCCCATCCCTGAGCTCCTCCTGCACTGATCAGGATGGTTGTTGTGGCCAGGAGACAGCCAAGCTCTGCTGAGGAAAGATGGTTTTGGGTACTCAGGGGCATTTTGATGATGTGCTACTGTGGAGATGCATAGAGGACATTTATGATCAATCAAGGCCTGAGGAGGTGAACAAGGCCACCTCCTGAGTCACTTTATCCTGCTACACAGTGAAAGGGGGTGTCCATGTTTCCTCAGAGCAAGGGGTTCAGTCCAACCCTAGAGCAGGAAGGGAGGAGACCTTGTTTTGTCTTTACACCAGCCTGTTCCTGGAACAGGTCAAGGGCCGATCTTGTCCTCATGGTAGCTTAGGACAATATTGAGAGTTTCCTTACATCACACCTTATTTGTCCTAATGACAGCTGTTCAGAGAATAATCTTGCAAAGTGATGTCTTGGCACCTTGCCCTGTCCCTCCTCTCTCTGATTAATTGGTGCTTGACTTACTCCTCTGCTAACAGCAACCCTAACATTGTTAAGGGGGAAAAAACTAAACACAAAAGAGCTTTTCAACCTCTTCATCTTCCTTTTCTTTCATAATCATAACCTTTCTCCCTACACTTTTGTCTTCCCTTTCACTCACTGACGGTATTTGTTTAATTTTAACTTAGCACTGCCTCCACATCCCCACAAAAATAAACATGTATAATCACTACTGAAAAAGGGTCTACAGTTATTGGAGTCATTGAGAAAATTAAAAGTTGTTCCTTGTGGAAGACATAGATGAGAATTTTTTGGATGCTACAACAAATACTTTGCAACAAAATATCTCAACTTGAAATGCTGTCAAATGCCTGGTGGAGGTGTAATCTCACTACCCTCCAGGTCAGGTTCCCAAATCCATCTGATGCCAAACACGGCCTTCTCATCAGCTGAGCAAAGTCACAGGAGGGCCTGGGTCTGCCTGTTCATCTTGCAGGGTGGAAGGGACAGGCTTCAGCCTGACCCAAACCACAGAAATGTGAAGCAACCTGAACAGCAGCTCCCAAGGAGCACTAAGATGACATTTTAAATCCAGCTCCCACTTAAATTCTTACAACTTTCAAGCACAGACAAAGTATGGATAATTTCCACAGAAAACAAACACTTGTAATTCTCTTCAAAGAGACTGAAGAGCTCAATATTTTCTGTGAGCCCCAGTGGTCAGGTCACAGTGCCCCTCTGGTGTTTGGTTTCCTGGTGATGTTTAAAACCCTATTCATTGTGCCAGCAGATGAGTGTGGATGCAAATCAGAGCTGGGATAATGGCTGTCATTTCAAAGTCTAAATATCCAACAGGTCTGACATTTAGATGACAGGACTTGAGTTTAATTTGCAATAAGGCCCTTTTAACTGCTTTTACCATATGTAGGGGCCCTAAAATTGGAACCAACTAAAATCATATTCATTTTAACACCCTTCCTGCAGCGCCAGAATGTTGGAAAACGTAACAACATTGGCAATACGTTAGAAAATCGGGCCCAGAGGAATTGCTTTTGGAATGTTCAATGGAGTCTGGCACAGAGGATTGATTTGTGGGAGCCAGGTGTATCACTCATGTGTGCTCTGTTAACTAGACCAGAATTCATAACTCTAGTTTAGACCCACCCTAGAGAGCAAACCCTTCAGACAGAAACCTCTACAGAACCTTTCACTTGAGCTTGATCTTGGCTGTTGTTCTGCTGTCCAGTGGGAGTGTAGGTAATGAAAACATTTAAATCTTCCCTGTGTTTTATGGCATATCAATATGACCATGTGATTCAGCAGATGATTGCAGTTGCTTTGGTTTGTTTTATGTGTGTTTAGTGCAATGGACACACAACAGATAATGCCCTGAGAGATTCAGATAAATACGTGAAGTGCAAAGATCAGGGGGTTGTTATCAGGCAGCTGGACATGGAATCGTTGGTGTTCTGTTCACTCAGTGTAACTGGTCTGATTTACAGCACTTTGGGGCAAAATGGCCCTGAGAAAAGAATTAGATACTGTGCTGTGCATGTGAACAGCACACAAGGGATGGGAAAGTGTTTCCTGAGCAGCAATGACTGACCTGTGATGCTCTTTGTGATTTTGGAGATTGCCTTAGGTGGTGGAGCTGGGAGCAATGGAGGGCTGGGAAGCTGTGCTGGGTTTCTTTCCATCTGTTTCTGGGGGGAATCTGTGGATTCAGGTGCAAGTAAGGCTTGTGGACTGTCTTCAGATGCTGGCAGGCTGGCATCCTCTGATTCTTCCGTGGGTGCTGAAGGTTTCTTGGCTAGGAGGAAGATGAGTAAAATTAATGGAACATGAAGTTAATAATGATAGGCCAGGGGACAATGCCAGGAACATTCAGAAAAACAGAACACATGGCACACAACTAGAAGCAGTCCTTTTCCTTAGTGAAAGTAATTATTGTGTTAAATAGTCAACCAGACAAGACAGGAGAAGAATAAAATATATGAGGATATTGAAGAAGTGTTAGTTTTGATGTTCCTGAAAAAAACTGCTGAGCTTCCCTTACTTCCCTAAAGCCTTTTCCCCTCTACTTTTTTATTTTAATAATGAAGATAGCAAGGCAAAGCAGCTTTTGAGAACTGCAAGGAATTTTCTTACAGCACAGCTGCAGTGGCAGTTCTTCAGTGAGTACCTTCTGAGGACCTCACTGCCATTGTCCAAGCTTGCTTGGCCCCGGCAGATGAACCTTAGGATTAAAGGGTGGGCTCAGTTCAGCGCAGGCTGTGTCTCACCTAAAAAAATCCATTGCGCAGGCTGGAAAGGTAAAAGACCTTTCCCCAAATCTTCGTTCACGAAGATGGGCCATTGTTGTTGTGTAAACCTTCTGTGCTAGGAACACACAGCCAAAGGGCAAAGAGTATCAAACCAATAATAGTCCATAAAAGCTGAATTTCCAATAGTTTGATGGACATGTTTGTTTTCACAATTTAATTTTTATCTCATTTAATACATGACTTCAACTTGCTTCCCAAGTCTTCTTTTACTGCACCTGACTCCAGAACTGTTGAGTGTTTCCCAAGGTTAATGTTGATAACCAAAAAGAACCTGCCATAAAAGAGATTTGCCCTTGGATCTCAGCAACAAGTGGAACAGGGAATTGGTGAAGTACTTGAGAAAAAAATTGAATCTGCAAAGCCTTAATCTGAGATGGCGAAGCAGTGCTCATTTCAGGATTGTCTCCATAAAGACGGCAAAAGCACTTAAAGTTAGTGCAGGCTGAATCACTGAGCAGTTCATCAAATTGACCAGGCTGTGATGAAGGCACAGGGGAATACATCCAGAAAGGCCTGAAGCTGAAGCAGGACATAGGTGGAATTTCAGTCCAAAATTAGCATCCTTGAATTCTGCTCAGATACCAACTGGCTCTGGCAATGCTTAAACTCCCACAGTGCCTCACTGCTGGATTTCACACTCTGTTACACATCCTGAGCTCTGCCTTGGCATATGTGGGGACCCCCACAGAGGCTCAAGGCTGAGTCTGAGCCAGGCCCCAGCCATGGCCACGCTCTCTCCAAACTGCAATTCCAGCCACTACGTGCTCAGTAGTAACATGAGGGTTACTGTTCCTACCCTGGCAGGTGAAGCACTGGGGGAGATCAGTGTAAGATTCTGCTTAGCACAGAATCACAGAACACTCTGAGTTGGAAGGGGCCTTGAAAGGACTCCAACCTCCCCTACAATGAGCAGGGACATCTTCCACAAGATCAAGTTGCTCAGAGCCCTGTCCAATCTGACCTTGAGTGTTTCCAGGGATGAGGCACCTCCCACCTCTCTGGGCATTCTGTTCCAGCATTTTATCACCCTCATTGGAAAAAAATTTCTTCCTTCTGTCTAGTGTGAATCTACCTTCTTTTAGTTTAAAAACATTACCCCTTTTCCTTGCTAACAGGTCCTGTTAAAATGTTTGCTTTTATCTTTCTTATAAGCCCCCTTTAAGTACTGAAAGATCTCCCTGGAGCCTTCTCTTCTCCATGTTGGATGACTCCAGCTCTCTCATTGTCTTTACAGGAGAGGTGTTCCATCCCTCTGATCTGTTTTGTGGCCCTGCTCCAACAGGTCCATGCCTTGCCTGTGCTGAGGACTCTGGAGCTGGATGCAGTACTCCAAGTGGGCTCTCACAAAAGCGGAGCATGAGAGAGGTCCAAACTCCTTGGCAAATCCCACTCCTTTTAGCATTCCAGCTTGTCTAAACAGAGCACCTTTCCCTCCAAACCATTCCAGGGCATCTCCTAACATCTTGCTTCAGTGGGCACCCACAGCACCCACAGCTGCAGCATCACAAACCTCTTCTTGGCTCAGTTTTCTGTCTCATTGGGAACACAAACTCTCTGTATTAATGAACATTCAGCAGCCTCGTGCTCAGAGTGCGTGGGGAGGCACCAAAGCACTTTGGCACTTGGAAACAATAGCACTGGCAAGATAATAGCATTTAATTTGTTGACAAACAGATTAATGAGTGTGCCTAGAAGAGGAGGAATGAGTATTTATTGCTCAAAAAAGACAAGAAAGTAGAATAAATACGCATCGTTAACAGGAATTCTTGTGAAATTTGGCTTGATAGGGAAGCTGCCATATGTGGTAATTGTGTGAATTACAGAAGGAAATCGTTTCCTTTTAAATGTACTTCTAGGGAAATGCCTTGTTCCTGGCTGACATCACTTTGTGTGTTCGTGCCACTGCATAGAAGACAAAACGTGGAATAGAGGAAGAGAAGAAAAAAAGTCACTAATGGGTTACATTACAGAAAGATCAAGAGCCCCCGTAGATGTTGGGAGCTTGATGGGAAAATTAGTGAGATTGGAGTGTATTCCCCTGAGTGGAGCAATACTGTCTCTGGCATTAACTTCCCTGAAATCAGTGGATCTCCCTGGGATATGAGGTGCTGCCTGGCACAGGTGAAGAGCAGCAGCCACAGTGAGACTTCTGCTGTAGAGAAGGTGGATCTGACACACACTCAGCCTCAGTCAGGCAGACTTCTTTGGTTCTGAACTCCATCCTGTTCTGAGAATCCTGAAGCAAACTGCTACTGTGTGCTGATGGCCAAAGAATGTCCACTTTACATTCCCTCCAAAGAACTCTTCGCCTCCAGGTTAATTTGTGGTTGTTTCTGGTGTCAACAACACCTTTGGGTAGGTCTGAAGGCGTGGACATTCTTGGAAGCAACCAGGGGCTGGATCCCAGGGAAAGCAGGGAATGAGGGGTGGGACAGAGAACAAAGGGCAGCCAGGGCAGATGGAGGAGGGTAAAGATTGACCAGAGGCCAGGAAGATCCATAATCACTCCATGGCAGGAGTGGCACAAACCAGGATAAAGCATTATCTCTGCAGCTTTGCAATTCTTGGTTCTCAGGAAGTGAATGGAAAGCCTCCAGCTGTTGGGTTGTGCCAGGCTGCTCTAGTCCCAAGGAACTGCTGTCATGGATAAGCTCTGCCAGAGCAGAATTGCATGAAAGGAGCTTGGTTTAGCTTATCTGTGCTCCTGGTATTGAACTTCACTTGGATTTGCAGCACGTTGTGCCAGGGTGATGATATGGACTCTGTGGGCTGGGTATTGACATTGTTCTCCCAAGCCAGGACAAACAATTTTAGCCTTGGCACAGAAGTTTAAGAAATGTTTTTAAGAGAAGCTTGTTTCATCTTCACAGCAGCCACTGCTAATACCAACGGGGCACCATGCCAAGACTGGATCGTCTCATAATCCAACTAATCCCATCACACCAAGCTTTGTGTTGTCCCTTAGTTTGGTAAAAGTCTCAAAAATCACTGTTCTTAAGTACCAGTTGCTAACCTAGAATGGGCTGAGCTGAACAAGGTGCTCTGACCCTTTAAAGCACTGACATATTTGACTCCTCACAAAACAGTTTGGCAGAAGTACTTTTATAAAATTTTACAGTTGTTTTAAAAACATTCTATATCCAATACCTGCATCTTCTTTCAGCTCCTCCAAATGCAGCTCCTCACCAAAGGAGGTCACATCAGTTGTGGCTGCTGTTGGACTCTCTTGCTGGTCCTCTTCTGGAGCCAGTGCCTGGCACACAGGGGCTGGAGGGTCACCCTGTGTCACTCTCGTGGTATCCTCACCAGTGCAGGCTTTGCCTTCAGTATCTAAAACAACAAATCATTTCATCTTAGCTAAACCACGAGCAGAGAAAGGTGACACTCCCTGCTGTCCTCTTGAGAGGAGTGGGTCCCAAAGCTGCTGTGCTCAGGGGACTGAGGCTCCCCTTAGAGCAGCACCTGATCTCTGGCAGTGTTCACCATCTGCAACGCAAACCCTGTGGACACCAGCCCATCTGGACACTAAAACCCACTCAGTTTTCTCAATGGGCACCTATTTCTGTGGGCACCCAACAGCCCCAGCAAGTGACCACCAGCCTCTGGAAGCACCTGCCATGTGGGAGATGAGCACAGTCATGGGCAACCAGAGATCTCTGGGAGAAGGCAATTCCTTGCATGGGCAGAGCTCCTGGTGCAGCACATTCCCAGGCTGGTCTGACATGTATGAGCAGTGTCAGGCTCACAACATGCTGCCATCCAGCTGCCTCAGCAGCAATGCCGGAGCCTTGCCCAAGGAATATTCCCTACCGAGCTGTAGGTTTTGAGCACACTTTTAGTTACTCAGCTTTGAAAAGCGTGTCCTGTGTGATTGAGCTGATCAGAAATTCAAATCCCTCTTCATGCAGACCTAGAAACTGCTCCCTTTGCTTACTCTGAGAGATTTTTGTGCCAGTGATCCCTGCAGCTGTACGAGCCTTGATGACTGAAGCTTTTCTACTCTTCTCCTATTCAGGCAAGAGTCCTCGGAATACAAACTATCCTTTTACTCTCTCAGAATCTACAAGATGTACATCACTGTTGCAAACCACAGAAAGCAATTACTTCCCACCCTGGGCAGTTTTCCATGCTGATGGACATGCCTGCTGTCCACCCCTCACCTCCCAGCTTGTATTTCTCAGCCCTGGACACTCCTTTCTGGAAGCTCCTGACAGGGCTATGTTTTCTTGCAATGATATCATGACAAGTTTCTTGAACGTTGATTTTAAATAGCAAGCATCTACAGCTACACCTTTTTAATGCTATCTGGATAATCTGCAGAGTAATTTCTTGTGCTGTTGGGTGAGGATATCAGCTTTTGGCCCAAAGATGCTGTGGAAGGGATGCAGTATTTTTGCACACTGAGCTCACTCAATCTGCCTCATAATCACGTTTGGTGAAAAGTTACTGTTCTTAAAATAGCCCTTGCAGTAGCACAGTTGCTATGATACAGGGAAGGGGAGGGGGAAAAAGTTCATTGCCTATATTTCATCTCATTGTGAAGGCAGCCTATACATAATCACCGGTGTATTAACAGCTGCCCCCATTGCTTGACAGCAGCCCTCACCCCTGGGGCCGTAAGTACAGATATACCTGATCTCCTTTGTGCTCCCAGTGGGGAGAAATATCAGGGGAAGCTCCCTAAACGTTTTCCAGGTAACTCTGCTTTGCGCATTCCTCACATCCCAGGGAAAGGCAGGCTGCTGACAGCTGTGCCACAGTGAAACTGCAGGCAGACACAAGTTCCTTCACATCCTGGACCATGGAAAGTGGAATGACTAATGAAGTAATGACAAACAGACGACAGCCCTGCCGGAGAATTTCTGTTGAGGAGCATCTGAGATTCACAACCATGATGTTCTTGGGCAGGAATGACAGCTCGTGCTTAGATGAAAGTGGGTATGCTGTGAGTAGCAGTGGGTCCCAAACCCGTATTAGAGAGATCAGTCGGGGACAGGAGAAAGCACAGACCTTGCATCCAGGGGTAAGGAAAAAACCAGTCTTGAGTATTCCAAAGAATCAGAAGTAGGGCTGTGATTTTGTTGGGAATTAATCCCCCTGTATGCCAGACCCTGCACCACGTAACCTCTCCCAGAGTGCAGGCGGGTTGCTCGGAGTGCAGCTGGATCCCAGGAGTTTTCAGGGGGTAGGTTGGCATTGCCCTGTGGGAGCAGAGCTGGAGAGCACAGGACAGAAGGGGCCCAGGCAATGGTGCAGCGTGTCTGGGCAGCTGCTTTGCGGTTGTGTGAGGAGACAGGGTGACATAACCTGGCAGGATGACTCATCACCAAAGCAAGGACGGGGCAGTTTCCCCCTGGGCTGCTCCCAACCCGCTGCAGATCCTGTGCCAGCCTCGTGGTGTGCCCTGAGCCAGACAGAGCCTGTGCTCCAGCCCTGAGTGACACACGGCTACTGGAAAGGCACGAGGCTTCTCAGGCTGCAGCATCAGCCCAGTTGGGCTATTTATGAAAGTGAGCGGGAATTAGGTCCCTGGAAGTGGAGTGAAGCCTGATGAAATAGAGGGATTTTAGGATTTACTGGAGTCTTTTAGCACAGTATTGCTGCTTTGACAATTGCAACTTACGGCATAAACGAGGACTTAGCCTTGAAACTGCTGCCACTTCAACAGTCCAAGTAGGGCACTAATCATTTACTGAGAATTATTTGGGTCAATTTTTTATTCCAGTTAATAAGCTGCTTCTCCTAATAATACAATACAATAACCCTGGAGATTCACAACACTCTGTAAAGAAAAATAACTTGCAGGCAGCTGCAGTGTCCTTCAGCTGCCTGTCAACCATTGTCCCCTTGCTGGGCTCAGGGAGGTACTGGGAATTTGTTTGATGTTTACAGGAGCTCTAGGCAACTTTCTTGCAGACAGGTAAGCAGTCTGCTTGCAGCTGTCTAGTTAAAAGCACAGCTTGTCATCACTCCTCACTGGACTATATGTATTTATTTAAACTATTTTAGTTTTGTTAAAAGGTTCTTGTAGCTTGGCATCATCTGTTTTCCTCCCAACCAGTTCATTATGTGTGCAAGAGGTTTATTGATTCATCATTATTACCTTTTAATGTGCTCTACAGAAGGTTTATTTTACTGTTCTTTTGCAAAGCTCTAGATAAGCAAGTATTCAAAGTCATGGATTAAAGGGAACATTCTACTCCTAGCAGGAATAGGTTGTATTTTTCTATCCAGTAGTACTAATATGCTAATAGGGCAGCTAATTATCTAGAATTATGAGAGACACAATGAGTTCAATGGACAAGAACTAAAAATGAGCTTTCTAAGAACTTCCTTTTTAGAATAAGCTGATGGTTTGATAGATTATTTTTTTGACTTGAACATAAACTCATCTTAAAATATATAAAATAAAATAACATGAAAATTGCTTTACTGCAACGAAAAAAAAGCCCTGTTTAAAATTCTTTTTTTCTGACTCTTCATTTGCTCAGTTACACTCCAGCATGGCATCACTGAGTATTGTCCCACAGGCTGTTTATAGACATGGCAATTTTTTTACACAAAGAAACTCAATTATTGCTTTCAAAGAACAGAACTTCTACCTCTGAGACTGGTCAAACTCAAAAGGCCAGTCTTTCTTCACGACTTTCTGCTATAAAGTTTTCAAAGTAAAGATGGATTTATGGTTTTCATCTCGGTTTAGGTGGAAATGGCAATTGGGATGTTGTAACACTGGGAGCTCACTTGATCTCACAGAATAGTCACCCAGATCTCTGTCTCCCTTGAGCATCTGTCAGGGCTTTGGAGCAGGGCTGTACAAGAACCATGGTCCTTTGTGCATGTTTCTCACACTTTATCATCTTTCCTTCCATGAATTCTGCTGGTTTGGACTCAGGGAAGCTTTAAAATGACACTCCAAAAAGCTTCACTTTTCCATGTGAATGAAAAGCAGGAGCAATAGTGATGTGTTTTGTCACAAACTTGGTTTACTGGGAAGACAGCTGAAAACATCAGATTAGTATCATTTGATGGGATTTGGACTCCTGGGTTGTACATGTTAGCTGACTGCATCTGTATGTTGAAGTTTGTATTTATCCAGCTTTAGCTGGCTTTCTTGGCAGTAGGATTTAACTGGCTTTAGAGCAATTACATAAAATATACGTACCAGCTCAGACTGCAGCATGTATAAATCAAGTGGAGATGGAGCTGCACTCAGGATGGTAAAGCATCAAAAATTAAACTACATGGACTGATTGCAGCAGGGAGGAGTTTGAAGAAAGAGGAGTCTTAATTCAGACACAGAGTTTTCCTCTCTGTTTGGATTGAAGGTTTTCCTTTTTGTTCACTTGCTTGTTAGGTTTCTGCTTTTGCAATTATGTGTTTCCCATGTGTTCTGACAGAGCCTCTGACAAAAAAGGTTAAGAATTTTTCCTTACCTTGTTCCATCATCTCCAGAAGGCCTTTCTTAATGAGCTCATCCCGCCCTTGCCGTGCTGTCATCTTCTTCTCCAGCACTGCACAAAGTAGGAGCACAACACAGCTCCAGTTAAGAACAGAGTATTCATATAATGGAGTGAAAAAGATGCAATGTGGGAATTCCCTCTAGTCTCAGCTACTGCATGCTTGGAAAGAACTGCCAGGATTTTGTTTTGGGGAGCATGGACTGCTCAGCCTGTCTGTGCCTTTTCCTTTGTTCAAACAGCTATAAAATGACCCCCATGTAGAGCTGAGGTTTATGATGTGACCTGCTGTTGGATCACACTGAGTGCAGAGTAACAGGGATAGCAGAGCCTTCATGCTGTTTAACACAGCACCTTGGAGCTGCCTCAGGAATATCCCACAGGATATCAGAGCAAGTGGAGGGAACTGCACCATCCTGTCTTAGGAAAAAGGAAGTGAGTTTGTCTCCTTACTGATCTCCTGGGACATCCCTGGAGACCAGCGGGCACATGCTGTGCTGTGTGCTGGGCTCCTTCCCCCCGGGGACAGCTGCTGGAGGGAAGGTTTTTCACATGCTGTAGCTCCCTCCTGTCACTTCTCATAATGTTACTGTGACCTATATAATCTTCACCCCAAATAAAAGGGGTGATGATACTTGGGGCCATAAATGTGTAGCCTATTTGGAGAAGGCAGAGCCCATGGAAAGCAGTCTGTGGCAAGGCTTGTGCTTCACTCTCGTGTTTTGACCTGTTCTTCTAAATGTACTCTATTGTATTATATAGGAAGTCAGCACATATGGGCTCTTTCTAGCCCTACATGTTATTAACCTGTTGAATGCTGAAATCTCTGAATCAGATTTAGATCAGGTCACTTTTAGCATGTCCTATGTAAGCAAGTTTCCCCAAGCTCAGCTTTGCTCTGTGCACATCCCTCTCTTGCTCCCAGCCTACCTGCAGACGTCTGCTTTAGCTTCTCATTTTTCTTTTTCCTCCACTTCCATGGTTTGAAGATCCTGCCCAGTGTTGCCAGTTTGCTGTTCCTCCTCACTGGTGGAGTTCGAATCCCTGAGACCAAGTAGTCCGAGCGCACTGCCGGGGATTGCTCCATCTCATCTGGGGGGAAGAGGAGAGACGGCTGTTGGACACTGAGTTACCAAGGGGAGGCAGGTGGAGCCTCACCAGATAACAAGCAGAATGTAGTCACCCAGATAAGCAGTGTGAGGAACTCTCTGCACCACTGGAGCCGTTGGCCAGGCCAAGGGACTCCAGCCAGAGGTGTCCAACCTCTCTGTGCCAACCCAGAGCTCCCTACCAGCTGCTCTCTTCACCCTTGCACAGAATCTGTCTGGATGCCAAATATCCCAGTATCTCCATTCCTGCCATCCCTCATAGATTCCTCAGGGCTACCAGGCCCAGAGAGAGGGGGCTGTGCTGAATTTGTACACCTTATGCTTTTCCCACCACTTCCCTACCTTTGCCCGTGCCTGGTACCCACCAAGGCAATGGTGTCACTCTTCCCCCTGGGAGCTGCATCACAGCCTTTGGAAACGTGGAGAGCTGAGAGCTCCCCGTGGCTTTAGTGGGAGCAGGAGGAATTTAACACATCTGTAAATCAGGCCCATGTGGCCTCCAGTTAATCACAGAAATGGAATGTTCATTTAGAAAAATGCAGACCTTTATGAAAAGCTGAGAGGAAGTGTGAGAAAGCTCAGGTCCCTTTGGAATTCCCAGCTTCCAGTTCTGTTCTCAGGCCACAGGATATTGCTGCCTTTTAAATGAACTCTTCACATAAACTAACACAGAACACACTGACTTTTGTGAGCTAATGCAAATCTTTTATATAAGAATAGTTTGTTTGATATGTGCTACATAAGTAAAATCTTAGAACTTTGGTGAAAATTTATTCCTTGAGGAAGCTAAGGGAAAAATTCTTTCCCTTTGTCCAGCCAAGCCACAGTAATTCAGAGATAATGCTTCAGCTGGAAAATCAATTTAGGTATTTTTAATATTTTGTCTTGAAAATACACTGCAAGTTTTGCTTATAGACAAGCCTTGCATGAAACAATGCACACAGACTATTCAGAGTTGTGTGCTAACCAGTACCATGGAGGAAACCAGCACAGCCCCATAAATGGGGTTATTGATGTCTATACTGAGCACCAATACAGTAATTGTTAAAAGAGAAGCTCCCATCAGATAAATTACATGAGTAAAAACTAACAACAATTTGTATTTTCTTTTCAACAAATCAGTTATGATTTAAATGAGCAACGTGAAGCTGTGAACTTATGTACATTTCCAAGTAATTTTCCTCTGGAACATCAACACTTATCACAAATTGCTTTATGACTGCAAGAGAAAAAACTATACAGCATCTTCTAGGCTTTGCTTTTGAGTTAACAGGGTGAAAATGTCTAAATCACAGCATGGAGGTGGGGATTTCCAAGTAAACAGGAAACAATTTTTGGAAGATTATTAAACACAGCAGGGGAATGAACACATTCCTCCTCTTCCATTTAATTTTGAAAATACTGGTAATAGAGATGAATCATTCAGTGGAGACAAACTAAAATCTTGGCCACGTGAACTATGAGAGCAGAGAAAAGCTGTAACAATTCCCCCCACACACATCGTGCGTGCCCAGTGAAATTCTCTTTTTTGTACTGAATTTAGAGCACCTTTTCTCTCATCCCACTGAGTTCATCTTGGGGTTTAATTTACAAAATATTGAAAGCATACATAAAAATACATTTTTGCCTTTGAAAGCATGGTGTCTACCCAAGGTGATGTTTATCATTTACAGTTGGGAGGTCACTATTAAGTTGAGAGCAGAAAATAGCCCAGAAGAAAGGCAGTAGCCTACAGAACACAGCTGGAGTGCCAAGATATCCTTCTCCTTTCCTAACAGCACATTCAAACATGAGAAGTATCATGGAAATAAGCTTTGAAGCAGTAGAGCTACTCTTGATTACAGCAATGGTAATGAGAATGGAAAATGGCTGAGTAGATCTCCTATTAATATGCTATTATGATCACTTTAAAGCTGTGATAGGAGCCTCAGAAAATAGCATTTGGCCATTTCTTGTGACATCTCTTGAGTGGGAATAGAAATGTTCACAGAATGAACTCATCTCAAAAGAGCTGTAGATCAGACTGTAAATCAGAGCCTTGTCCCTGGAAGCTGCAGAGGAGCAGGACAGGCTCAGCTCAGCTCTCCCTGGGCCTTGCCTGTGAGACTGCACTGCTGCTCCTCCATTCCAGGGGGTTCTCAAGCATGTAAGTGAAGATTAAATAAGAAGCTGATTTAAAGGAGTACCTTGGCAAGTTACAGCACTCTGTTCAGGATGTAGGTGTCTGCAAAGCGCTTTAGACATCATCCATATGTTTTGTTTAACACTGGGAGCATGAGATCATTTCACCTTTTTGCCAGAGAGGGGATGTACAAAGACAAAGAAGTCCTTGAAACCCAAACCTGTGTGTCTCTAATAATGCTTATTATCCCAGATATTCCCACAAAAATTAGAGAATGGGGAGATAGTGCAAAGACACCAAACATTTAAATATAAACTTCAACATGTATGCCCTGTAGTGATCAGTCTTTCTTTGGTTTTTCCAGCCCTGCCAACCGGGTTTCTTCCACCCCCTTCTGCCTTCTTGGTTGTGGAAATGTAAGGATTTTGTGCCTTAGACTTGGATTACGGATGAAACACAGATAGAAATCAAATGTCTAAGAAGGAATAGAAGCTAAACCAAATGTGCCAGTGGAGGTTTTTGTGGGCTTTTTAACTTTATTAATGCTTCTCTTATGGTACAAACAGTTCTTAAGCAAATGGATTTATCACCTGGTACATTCTCACCATATGCAGTTCCTATACTGTGCATTTGGAGAGATGGACACAAATATAAATAGATAGAGACACAGCAAGACAGATGTCCTGAAATCATAAATAACAAGGAAATGGTCTCACTGGCAATAAGAATCACAAGAAAGCCTTGGAGCACCTCATTTCCAGTCAGTTCATCTTTTCCTGGTTGTGGGTTGGCTGCTTGGGAGATAAGAAGTTGACAGCACAAAAAGCAGTTCCCACGTACAGCAGTGAATACTGAAGGAGAAGGAGTGCCTAAATATCAGCCAGCTCCTGCAGCCAACAAGCTGCCAAGGCTTGCCAACCCTCCAACCACTCTGTGAAATATTCAGCACATTTTTTTAATCTGCAGTCAATATTTTAATTATGCTAACTGTTCTGTGGAATAATGTGGTTATTCCTCCCAGAGCCTGAGAGCCTGGGGCCAGGCCATGCAATTACAGAGGATGTCTGCAAAACATAAACAGCCAAGAGCCAAACCCTGACTCTCCAAACCAGCAGGGGAAAGGAGCAACAGCTTAACTCGTGTGTAATGGGGAAGGATGAGGGGCAGTTGTTGTCAGGGGGCAGTGAGCACAAGACTAACCCCCAGCACAGGGACCTGACTGTCCCCACTGCCCTCAGTGTCCTCGCTGCCAGGACAGACCAGTTGGTCCCACACACCATGGTCAGCCCTGTGGGGACCAGGGTGCTCTGACTGAAGCTTATTGGCTGTTTACATCAAAATTGCTTTAAATTCTCTGCTGTGCCCCACTGAGGGCAAAGGCTCCTGTGCTGGAGCTCCAGCTCCAAACAAAGCCCTCGGATATCACACACTTGTCCTCTGCTCTGTGTGTGTCAAAGGGGTGCAAGTGAGTGTGGCTGTGCCCCTCTGATGATGCTGGGCAAGTGCTTCTCCCAGCTGGGGTATTTCTAGAGCTCCTAACAGTGACCAAGTGTCACTTATTTAATGTCTGAAACTCCCAAATCAGATGAGGGGAAAGGCTCCAAACTGACGGGTCCTGCTCTGCAGAGCAGCTCTGGGCTGCAGGATCAACCAGGCAACAGAGAAGAAGCAAACAAACCATAATATTCATTACATCTGGCTGCAGGGTCTGACCCCTCAGAAAGTCTGAGCAGCTTCTGTTCACATCAGCAGCAATTGTGGCAATTGGTGTTTCTGGAAAACACCCCCTTGCTTTCTTCTTTAAAATACTGTGGTGACATAAATAGACCACTCTTCCTGTTAGTCCCTTCCCTGTAGGAATTGTGTGATGGTTGTGAAAGTTTTCTGCACATAGAAACTCTCCCATTTCCACATGTCAAATCCTGACTTTATTCCCGGAGTGGGGCAGGTTTGCTCTGAGTTCTGTGAGTTGTGTCCTGGGTGTGTGATGGAAAAGTGCCCTGTGCCTGCCCACAGCCCTCATTTGTACAGCAGCTGGGGCTGAGATGACATGTCAGTGCTGTTAAATTGAGCACTGGCTTCAGTGAGTTGGGTCCATCTTCTTGGGGTTTTCATGATGAGCCAAAGAGAATGTAGCTTGATCTCTGGGTTGCTGATGACAGCAACTGCAGGCTGATGGATGGCAGTTGGGAACATCAGGGATGCAGAGCTGAGTTACACTGACCTTGCCACAGAGGGAGGCTGTAAGAGGCATGGGATGTCCTCTTGTGACTACACAAATGCAGCAAGAACTTTGTGGGAAGATGAAGATGCTGAATTTTAATGTGCTGGGAATTTTGGTAACTTAAATTCGCAGTAATGAAACTTGTGCCTTGCTAAATCCTGTGTGTACACTGGTAGGAGAAGGACCACTGAAAAATCTGCAACCTGCAGGCAGTTTAAAAATAACACAGCAGACAGGAGCTGCAGGCAAATTTGTAAGGCAGGCGTGCTCTGTTTGCTGATGAATTGGTTTGTGATGCAGCTCTGCATGTTTTCCCCTTTACTGTCATTGCATCTGCCTTTGCAACTCAGACACTTTGGTCCATTGCAGAGGGTGGAGACAGGGAGTGGAATCAAAATGACCTTTTGGGGACTTTCAGTGCTGCCTGGAACTCATATCTGCCTCTAAAAAGGGTGTGAGGGACCCAGATGCTTGTGAGGGGTGATCCTTACAGAGAGTGTTTGTTATCTAGTGAAAGAAACCCGCAGGGCAAAGAAGGCAGAAAGGTGGTCTTGGTTTCGGAGTAAGGACTATCCTGAGTTTTTTGAAGGAGAATTACCAGCAGGAACAATCCCCCTTTTTCTTAGTTTAGCATCCT